GGCTACCGACAGACTGCCGATTGACTGACGATGACCTGCCGTTACACTGCGCTTTACCTACGAATTAACCCTCACCTCGACAAGATTCAGACAACATTCAGGATATTACTTTTCCTCGGGGAGTCTGCCGGAGGGAAGGGGGTAGAAGGAAGGGGGTAGGGGGCGTCTGGCTGTGGCACGGCGGGCGGAATCCGCATCGCGCACCCCTACACACACTATTAGATGACGTCATGCCTGGTGCCTCTCAGCGCTCCGCATGAGAGTACAAGCAATGATACATAGTTAAGTAAAGTATAATCAATTTCAGTTGTGTAAAATGTATCATTTGCTAAAAACACGCACGGGAGCTATGGCAGATAACATAGTAAGTTGCACGACTAACAAGTATGCAGTCACGGGTTCTGAGTAGAACCCTATTTAACATTTCGGCATCATTTGTGTTTGTCGTGAATAGTGCCTGGGACGCGTGAGAAACGCCACCCCTAAGCAACCATGTGGATACGACGACACGCAGTAGCGCCTCTCGGTGTGGTTGTGTGTCACACCAGCGAGTTGCTCCCTGCGTGACGTCCCCACAGCCGCGGCGCTGTGTGACAACACGGTCACAGTAACGCTTTGCACTCGTCACTCACGCGCGTAACTGCCACGCAGTAGCGCCACTCAGTGTGGTTGTGTGTCACCCCTGCGAGTTGCTCCCTTCGTGACGTCCCCACAGCAGCGGCGCTGTGTCACAACACGGTCGCCGTAACGATTCGCTCTTGTGTGACGTCCCCACCTTGGAGCCATTCTTCACGGCAATGTGTCCGGCACGAACGGTTGTTCTTCTATTTGTTAATCTTAGGAAAGCAATAAGCATGTGACTGTACGGTCAGTCACGCTTTTGCCAGCTGTGCAGAAATGCCTGGCAGTGTGACAAGAACGAGGAAAGCCAGGTACCTACATCCGTTGAAACACACCCCCAAAGAGCGTTGGCGAAAGCCAGCTTTTGTCGGCTGGGCAGCAGTGCGAGGATAGATTTCTCATTACTGCTTCTTGTAGTCTCGCGACGGGTACTCCACGGGATCCACAATGTGCATCTGTTGCTACAGATCGGGACAGGGCAGTTGGAGGGGGAAAGAATTGGGAGGGGTACGAGATTGCCAACCCCCCTAAATATTTAATCCATTTTTTTTTGAAATTATCTTCCTTAATTATTCGTAATTAGAATGATTTTTTTTTTTGCGCGCTC